CTAATTCAATGCTAGACTCATCTGATGTACCCACACTGGATTCCCCCCTAGAACTCAGGCTCTACTCAGTGAGATGCACATAACCCTAATGATGGTACTGGACATCATCTCTTACTTTCCAGCCTGTTGGAAGTCCTCATCTGTTGTGCCTGTTTTTAAGAACTCTGGTGACCCTTCTGACCCATCTAACTACTGTCCTATCAGTCTCCTACAACTCTTCAGTAAAGCCTTCAAGGCTTAAATCAATGCTGAAGTGATTAAGCACTTTACTTCACATAATCTGCTCTCCGACAAGCAATATGGTTTCTGCTTTGCCCAATCTACTGCTGAGGTGCTCACAGCAATAACTGAATTTGTATATGAAGCACTCAACAATAATGGAGAAGCTTGAGTCGTGGCTCTAGACATCTCTAAAGTGATTGATAGGGTTTGACATGCTGGCCTTCTTTGTAAGCTTCAGGGATACGTTATTACAGGATGATTATTTGACTTAATACAATCATTCCTGTCAAACCGTGAAATGAAGGTCATCCTAAATGGGTTCTCCTCTGGCTTCTTTATCACGAATACTGGTGTTCCTCAAGGCTCTATCTTGGGCCCTACACTGTTCCTGATCTTCATCAATGACCTTCCCCATGTCATCAGTTCCCATGTTGGCATCTACACAGATGACACTACTATTTACTCCTGCCTCAATAGTAAATCTGGTAACACTGACAAAACTAACCTGGCTGCTGATCTCAAAAAGGACCTCCAATCTGGGGTTGACTGGGGCAGGAAATGGCTTGTAAATTTTAATGCCTCCAAAACGAAACTGCTCTCCTTTACATACCACAGAGAACCCTTCCTGCCTCCCATCAGAATGGCTGATTTCCAACTCCTTAAGAGCACCTCGTTACACCTGCTTGGTCTCATGCTATCCACTGACATGGGGTAGAATAAATATATTGAATCAATAGCTTTATCTACCACAAGGAAAGTTGGTTCTCTGTGCCGTGCCAGAAAGTTTTTCTCATCTGAGTCCTTCAAATCTATAAATCAACCATCCATCCTTGCATGGAATATTGCAGCTATATATGGTCTGGTGCTCCCGCTGTATGTCTCGAGGTCCTCGATAAAATCCAGAGACGAATATGCAAGATGATAGGTCCTGATCCAGCATTTAATCTAGAATCGCTATCCCTCAGACATGCCATGGCCTCCCTCTGTCTCTTCTACAAGTATTTTCATGGCAATTGTTCTGATGAGCTACTTTCGCTGGTTCCCGGACTACATGAATTTAAGTGAGCTGCCAGGCTGGCATCTCAGTCCCATCCTTTCACTGTCAAAATGGTTAAATGTAACCATCTCTTCTACTCAAACAGCTTCTTCTCCCGCACTTCCCATTTATGGAACTCCCTTCCTCTTACTTGCTTCTCCGATGACTATAATCTTCAAATATTCAAGTGTAATGTCAATTGATAACTGACACCCTGAACTTGTTCTCCATCCTTCTCTGTATACTTTCCCCAAACATGCCTCTTTACTCTTGTTCTCAATCCTCTGTAACCCCTTGTGTGCTAGTGGCACTCCTGCCTTGCTTGGGGTGAACTGCTTTAAAAAAAAAAATCCTTTATCTGAAGCTAGCTACAATTGTAGTGAAAAATTGATTTCGGTTGTACTAGTAGAATAAACTGCCTATTCAACTGTTCAAGAAAATTTTGATGTTATCTCACATGAATCTAGGTTGATTTTATGACTTGCCAGAATGAACAGCATCAACTACTTGTGAACTGTTTGACTGAAACGAAGAATATTCTTTCAAAAAATTTTGAAACTACCTGCGTCTCTTATTTTGTGCACATGTGTAGACATAGCAACATTAACAAAACCCAGTCAGATGAAATGCGTCATGAGAAAATTTTCAGTTTGTCATATTTTTCTAAATACTGTTTGTTGATATATAAAATTATACAAAATTATATACTGTTATATTATATATATATATATATATATATATATATATACACACACATAAGTATAGGATTGGTGTAGTCAGAATAAATTCTAATTACCAAAAATACTATCCTTAAAAGAATGCTCAATACAAATATTATTTATTCAAAAATTATGACATAAACATGTTATAACAATTACATCATCATTTTTATCATGATGTTATAACATGTTTATGTTATAATTTTTAAAATATATATGCATGTATATATTCAGAGGTAGTAGTGATCCGTGTAAATAGTAGAAGTAGGTGCAAGTATGTGTCAATGCAAGACTGGCTGGATGATATAGCTCCCTGTGTAAATGGTAGAAGGAAGTAGGGTTATGTATGTGTTTATAAGAAACTGTTGGAAAATGAAATAAAATCAATAAATAAAATAATAATGAATAATAAATAAAGAAAGAAATATGTTTTCACATGATGCTAGCAGTAAAGGAACTGGAAATAGGATTACCTCCCTTGACTTTGTACATCACTGTTAGGTAATGCTGTTGAAGTCTATAAAAAGAAATATTTCCTGCATGTAGCACAATGTAGTAATCATGTTCCCACTGGGAAAATTTGTTTCCCTGGCCCACTGACGACTTTTCACTTTTTAACACATGGCATTCACACATCTTCCAAAACCTTGCACCTATTAAGTAAATCAACCTTTTCTTTTGTTGCTCCAACTCAACAAAGGCCGACTTGAGTCATTATGACAATGCTCGTCTTTACTTATCCTAACTTCTGGGCCAAGAAAAAGGAAACAACCATGTCTACACCTTTCAATGATAAAGTACAATTTTTTTTTTTTTTTTGCTTGTTTTAACTGGGCAAGGCTGACTCTAGCTTGACCATTAATACAATGCTTATAATTAATTACCCTAACTTCTGAGCCCAAAAAGAAATGGACATACCCAAGAGACAATGAGAACTTTGTTTCACTACAGTTTATATATAAAAAAGAGAAACTGTCTGAAGTAGAAACCTAAGTTTTTGTATGCATCTACCTTAATTGTTTACATATGAACATGCACCCACCTAACAAACACAAGCCCTACAATTTTTACATTCCATAAGACCGTGTGGGTTGTGCATAAGTGTTGTATTTAGGTTTTGGGTATAAGAACTGCAGTATTGGAGAATTGATAAAATTATTTCATAGGTTTTGATTTAGTTCAACTGTCCATCTCATCTATATGCTAGCAAAACTGATTTTGAAACTGCTGTTTGGCTTCAGATTGGTCCACAAACCATAAAACCAGATCTTTTGTTGAGAACATATCTTGTCTCCAATTAGCTTGCTAGTCTATGATATTCATATCCTTCTTGAATTTTTTTCTCATTGCTTCATGGAAATATGATTCTAGCAATTCTGAATTTTTATCTATTTTTAGATGTTGAAATTTTAGTCTCCATGTTATTATTTATTTTTCTATCACTACATTCCTCCCAATACCATTATTAATGTTAAAAATGAAATAAATTGCATTTCAAACTTTTCTTGCAAGCTTTTTATTCTAACTATTTTCGTTCCACAAATTCTTATTAATTATTTAGCAGGGCATTATGCTAAAAAAAAAATAAAAAAATAACAGCAGCGCACAGAAAAATTTAAAAACAAACATTTTTAAACTACATGTTAAACTTCGATATTCGACTACGAAAATGTTTTATTTCAACACCAAGTACTTTCCGAAAAATAAAAAATAAAAAAATAGCTGTACGAGAGATGCTGAAAAGTTCTCGGTTCGGCCGACTTTCCCAAATGTCCAACCAAATCGTATTTTTTTTTTTTTTTTTCGAAAAGACTTCTTAATCAGACCGAGAACTTTTCAGCACCCTTTCGGATAAATCGAAAAAAAGAGATTATTATTCACTATATACACAGACAAGCCTCAATTTTGGTGTGTAACCCCGGGGAAAGATTTAACGAAAATATGGGAAACAAATGGAATCTATTTTGCTTTTCTTCAGAAATCGTCTCTACACCCCCCAAAAAAACAATGAACCTCGACGAAAATAAATAGCAAAAAGTAAAACAGACTTCTTTTTTTTTTTTTTTTTAACTGACAATAAAACTTTTGTTTCGCCTCTGAAGTTATGTGCTATTATTCATGACGAAGGAATCATTCAGTGTCAGTGTTAAGCAGCTGCGATTCAATTCTACCCGATACTAGGATCGGAAATGTTTGCGTTTGAAAACTTGTTTACAAATATGGTGACGTGATTTGCAAGCGGAAAAAAAACGCATTAAAATCCCGTTTATCCTTATTTACATGTAAAAGTGTTTTTACTTTTTGAGATTGACTGAAAAATCATTTGAGGAAAAAAAATGATGAATTTATTTTTATTTTAAAAAACAATTTGTGTATAGGTGTGTAGAAAGTTGAAAAAGAATAAAACAGGTGACATTTTAGGGTGGCACCGGTTAGTCTCCAAATAAAACTATTTGGTTTCTATTATATTATTTTTAATTTTTTATTTAAATTGACCTTGAGTTTAACCCCCAAATACACCCGCTACACGCACAATAAGGGAAATGTGTTTTTAATTCATAAATTGTAAATAAGCATTTTCAAAATGTCTATTTTTTTTACGGAAATAGTTTTAAGATTTTAAATTTGATTTTTGTTTTGCAATCCCTAGTGTCAAACAGTGAAGGAAATTATTTCCTTGTTGCATATTGAAACCAATGAAACGTAATTAATTTTATATTTAATTACAGTTAGTAGCGAAACGCGGTGATTAACAAAAAAATCAATAGAAAACAAATTCTATAAAAATGTGGTAATTCTTCACACACAGTTTCTAAGAATAACACTAACAGTAACACTCTCAACAAAAATGCGAGTCAGTAGAGTAGTAGTTTCTGATTTAGCTTTCAAATAGCGCAATCTTAATTTATTATTTCCTTAGCTATTTTTTTTTTTCGGGATCAATTGATTGCTGGTCCAGTATGCTTTAGTTCCGCTGTTATCTAAATGTAAGTAAAATAAATAAATAAAGTTTTTTTACCCACCTGTTTGAGAGAGAATCTCAATATGAAGTGACAGTGACAGGAACTGCAACGCTTCACGCTGTCGACGGAAAATGACGTCATTGACTTTCGGGAATATCTAATTTAGGAATAATTCGTCAGGCGGGGTGCAGTCCAGTACATTATACTTTTTTCTTCTCTTTATCCTTCTTTTCATATTTTAAATTTTATTCCATGATTCGTGATTTTATTTTAAAAACTAAGCAAGCTGAATCAACATTCAGTAATGAGAAGTACATATAATAATGAAAAATCTTTTTTTTGAAAGTAATCTCTTAAAACTTAGGTACCACCCAAAAAAAAAAAAAAATGATTAGGGTACAGTGGGGCATTAGGCACCATGGGGCATTAAGCACTTCCTGTCAGAAACCTTCACAAAACAGTCTATAAACAGACCCAGCCTTGCTTGGGGCATTAGGCACCTTAGCTGTAGGATGCTTGGACCAATCAGAAACCTGGTTTTAAAAATAGCTAGGCTGAACATCCAATGAAGAAATTTTTTTTTTTTACTTGGAAGGAAGTTTTTTTTCCTCCAACACAGGCCATTGCAAAAGTTTCTGGAAACTTTTCCATGCTTCTAAGAGAGTCTTCAAGAAACTTCTGTTTGTGCAGTTCTTATCAACCAGCCAGCCTCCTACATTTGTCTAGCAGCTGGGGAAGAAAACCAAGTAAGTACCTACCCATAAATATTTTTTTTTTTTACTTTGATGGAAAAACATTTTTGTGCGATTTTTTTTTTTTTTGCATTGCCAGGCACCTCGTGACTTCCTGGCTGACGCACTGGTGAGTCTCTGTTAATAGCCTACATTTTTCCATAGGCCTATATTTAAAACAAAAGTGTGTATGTTCTTGTGTTGTATTTTTTTTCTTTGAAAGATGCACAATAATTAAGCATGTCAGCATCTAATTTTGATTTTTTTCAAGAGAAAGCCTAAAAAAGAAAAGAAATGTGAGGAGTGCTTAATGCCCCAACTTAGTTTTAGATCACTGATTTAAGGTTGGGGTGAAGCGGGGCATTAGGCACCCCTTTTTTGGGCCAATTATATCTCTATATTTTACTGTAAAAAGTAAATACTGAAATAGTTTATAACTAGAGCCTAAACAGTAGGCATAAATGTTGATAAAAATTTCTTCATTCAGGCCTATAAAAAAAAAAGAAGTTTGGGTCTACTTTACAGTTCTTAGATCTAGCCTACTTTACAGCTAATGACTGTGCTGTTTTGTTCTGTTACAGAATGGTGCGCACCTACAAGAAGACTGACGGTGGAAGAAGAAATTTCAGCAACTCTCAAGAAATGGCCGATGCATACAATGCCGTAAAGAAAGGGGAGATGTCAGTTACTCAAGCCTCGAAGTATTTTGGCATCAACAAAAAATCACTTCTTCGACGCACACGAGAAGAAATTCCCGTTGACGCACGTGTGGGCAGAGCAACAGCTCTGTCTTCTATACATGAGCGGGAACTTGCAGATACTTTAAAACTCCTAGCAGGGTGGGGATGGGGATTCACTGGAGAAGGAGTTAAGAACATTGTGAAAGTGTTTACCACAGAAATGAACATCGAGACTCCATTCACAGAAGGTCGGCCCGGTTATGACTGGTTGGATGGATTTTTGAAGCGCAACCCTGATGTAGTTCCCAGGAAGACTGAACACCTGAGCAATGCAAGAGCAAGAGCTGAAGACCCAGCTCTCATCAAGCATTTTTTTGAAATGTTCCATAAGGTACTGATGGACAATAATGTCATGGACATGATTGCCCAGATTTTTAATGTTGATGAGAGTGGCTTCGTGACGGACCCCAAACCACAACTCGTCCTTGCAGAAAAAGGTGCCTATTTTTTTAATTTTTTTTTCCGAAATGAAAAAAAGATAGCTACCCCGTTTTAAAATATTTGCCAAAAATGAGGGAATTATCCGATTCAAACGAAATTTCCAGTACTTATTCATTAAAGAATTATTAACTTTTTTTGAATCGGTTATTTTATGAAAAAAAAAAAAACAAACTTTGGAGATACATTTTTTGCCGCCAACCGCTTTTCGATATCTCATGTATACTTTTTTTACAAATGTATTTCGTGAAAAATCTTTACAAATGAATTATATAAAGAAAAATCTCTGGCTCTTTCAGTAAAAAAAAAATACGCAATATCAAGTGTGAATATTCGTCAGAAAATTCGTCTTGTATTTTACCAAAAAAATTCAATAAAACTCAAAAATTATTTCTTTAGATTGGTACTTAACTTGAAAAATTTTTTAACGCCTAAACGCCCGCGCGCTAAATATCTCTTAAAATTTTCCCAAATCGTTAAAATTCCGTGTACGGTGTAAATGTTCATGTTGAACTCGAATTAACAATTAAATTATGAAGAAACCTAGCGTTTTTGGAGTTATCAACAAGAAAAAATCGGACATCTTGTTAGTCGTTCGTCCCCCATTACTACCATAATGTTCACTGATTCAGTGCTGAGTACATCCGGTGGCGCAACGTTAAATTTTGGCCTATTTACATGCTTTACTTAAGTTTTAAGCGATCGATAGAGAAAGTCGATCGGCTGTGGTTAGTCTGTAGAGTATAATATTTATCGGTCCGGGCAAGGACACGAAATGGACCCGCATAATGTGGTGTCAGTGGCTTTCTAACAGAATCCTGTCGTACAAAAAACGTACTCGCATTCCAGTAAGGAAGGAGGCACATAAAGTGTAACGGGTTGGAGTACTAAAAGCAAGGGAAGACATTTTTTTCCGAAAATAGTTGATAAAACTGGATGAAGGTTCTTGTGTACATGTTACGGAGAAAAATTGTCCTGCTAGTACCAGCTGTTGTCCGAAAACTAGATCAGCAGGCGAGCATTTCAGATCTTCTTTAACTTGTGTGCGAAGTGAAAGTAAGACAAAAGGTAAGTTGTCTATCCAAGAAGATTGGTTAGTAGTGCCTATGCTGGTCAAAGCAGCCTTAAGCTGGCGGTGGAACCGCTCAACTAGGCCATTGGAACATGGGTGGTAAGCAGTTGTTGATATATGACGAGCTCCAAGTAAGTTAGTAAATTCTGCGAATAGCCGAGATTGGAACTGCGGTCCTCGATCAGTGGTAATGATCGAGGGACATCCGTAAATGGAAATCCAATGTTGAAATATGGCTCTTGCCACAGATTCGGCGGTAGTGCTGTTGAGTGGGACGGCAACCGGCCATCTCGTAAATCTATCTATAATTGTCAAAATGTATTGACATCTCCGATAAGGGACCCACTAGGTCCGCATGTAGATGTCGGAAACGACCATCAGGGACAGCAAAACGACCAGCTGGTGACTTAGTGTGTCTCTGGATCTTGTTTTGTTGACAAACAACACAAGATTGAGTATAGCGAGTAATGTCTTACGCATCTTAGGCCAAACGAAACGGTCTGTAATTAACCTAAGTGTAGCTTTACGACCAGGGTGGGACAACGAATGAAAGTGGTCGAATATTCGTCGCCGCATGTTGGTTGGGACGACGGGTCGAGGATTACGTAGACTGGTGTCGCACGCGATAAGCTTATCAGTAAAGGGCAAGGGATGATGCTCAATATGTAGTGACGAATTTCGAAGTGAGTCGAGCAAAGTTATCTCCCGTACTTGTTCATCCGCGATATTTTCCATGTCTAAAAAGTATCTTGCAGGCTTCCACACAAGGATGCTCTGGAAAGTGTATCGGCAGCAATGTCATCCATTCCTTTAATGTGACGTATATCCGATGTAAACTGAGATATATAATCAAGATATCTGTAGTCCCGAGGATTGTACTTGTCTGATTTAGCTGAAAGGGCAAAAAAGCGAGAGGCTTGTGATCTGTGTAGATCATAAAGTGTCTGCCCTCTAAAAGGTGTTTAAAATACTTAATTGACAAGTATATAGCTAAAAGTTCCCTTGAAAAGGTACTATACTTCTTCTGTGTGGACGTCAACTTAACGGAGAAGAAGGAAATTGGCAAAGATTTAGCGTCAACATGTTGGTGTAAAACTGCGCCTATGGCGTCAGAAGATACGTCAGTCGTTAATGATAACTGAGTGGTAACACTGTCGTTGAGGCATGAAAGTTTCGTAAAGTTGACCAATGCTTTACGAGAGTTGTCAAATGCTTGCGTTGTGTCGTTGTTCCAACAAATAGGGGTATTTTTACGGTCTTGCCCGCGAAGGATATTCGTCAGTGCAAGAATTTGTGAACAACGTGGGATGAATTGACGATAATAATTGATTAAGCCAATGTATCTGCGAAGCTGTCGAAGCGTGGAGGGCTTCGGAAATTGCTGGATAGCACGTATCCTTTCAGGCAGGGGAGTAATACCTGTAGCATCAATGACGAAACCGAGAAAGTGGAGTTGCGAAACGGCAAACTCGCACTACTCTGGGTTGATTTTTAAACCAAAGTTCTGAAGACGATCAAAGACTTGCTGAATATGTTTACGATGCTCCTGTAAATTAGGGCTAGCTATTAGTAGATCATCAATATATGCGAAAGTGAAAGATAGTTCACGAAGTACCTCATCTATAAGGCGTTAGAATGATTGAGCTGCGTTGCGCAGTCCAAAAGGCATACGCAGAAACTCGAATAAACCAAACGGCGTGGTAATCGCAGTTTGGGAATATCTTCGTCAGCGACTGGGATCTGGTGAAAGGCTTTGCGCAGATCCAGTTTGGTAAAGACAGTTGCTCCCTGTAAGGTAACAGCAAAGTCGGTCAAATTGGGAACTGGGTACTTATCGGGTACCGTTTGTGAATTAAGTCGTCTATAGTCGCCACACGGCCTCCAGGCGCCCTGCTGAGCCTTAGTGACCATGTGAAGCGGTCAGGCATATGGACTCGAGGAGGGGCGAATAATCCCGAGGTCGAGCATGTGTTGGAACTCGGCCCGAGCAATCTCGTATTTGTCCGGCGCAAGACGGAGAGGTTTAGAATAGACAGGCTGTTCGGTAGTTCGAATCCTGTGTACAGTGCTGTGCTTGACAGGCTCTGTATAAGTAAAAGGCTGTATCAACGAGGGAAATTTATCCCAAATATCTTGAATGGGATTATCACGCGGCACAGCGATGCGTAATTCTGTAGATGTTAGCTGTGATACAATTCCGCGGTTAGATAGCTTCGTGGTGGAGTCAGATAACTGACGCTGTGAGAGGTCCACGATTAGTTGATAATGTGCCAAAAAGTCGGCGCCTAAAATGGGGAATTTCACGTCTGCAACGGTGAATATCCATTGGTATGTCCTTCTAAGTCCAATATCCAGTGTTAACGATTGTTCGCCAAAAGTCTTGATGTTCGTGCCATTAGCGGCGCGTAAAGTGACTGAAGAGTTAGTCTTAGTGAAGTTGGGTGACGGTGGAACAACACTAAGCTGTGCTCCCGTATCTATCAGGAATGACATGTTAGAATTCCTGTCTTTTATATAGAAGAGACAGTAGTATGTGTCCCAACAGTAGATGCCGCCTTAAAGTGCTGCTGGGATCGGCGTTTTCCCGCCTTCCGTGATGCCTTGGGTGAAAGGTTGGCACTTGAAGGTACAAGGCTTAATGCATCTGTGGGCTCTATCACAATAGTTAAGATGGTACCAGCATACAATGGGTCGGCGAGCGCAAGTAGCAGAATGAGAGCGTCGCCGTACCTTGTATGAGTTTTTATCTTCTGCTCTGGTAAGATGCTGCACCTGAGTGGAAAACCTCTCGAGTTGCTGTTTCAGCTGTTCTATTACATGCATAAGAGCAACGTCAGTGGGTACAGCGGAGTCCACGCTGCTGATGCTGGGTACGTCATTAATTTTATCAGCGATCTCAGCAATCCTCGAGAGATCCAAGTCATCGAGTAGCGTAGCCAGAATCTGTGAAGTGTATGGCGGTAGCTTGTCCAGCCAAAGTTTGCGGAATAGTGATTCCGACATCCGAGTTCTTCCCTAATAGATTCTTCATACGCCTAAGCAACTGCGACGGGCGGCTATCTCCGAGCTGTATAGTATTAAATAGATCGTGCAACCTGCGCTCATGCGATTTCCCAGTACGGTAGATGATGGCTTCCTTTAGTATATCAAAGTGGTTATGAGCGGGAACGGCTTCGAAAAGGTCTAGCACGTCAGCAGCAATCTTTGGTGGCAGCTTCTCGACTATGTACGCGTAACGCGCAGTCTGAGAGTGAATGTGCTTTGCTTGGAATATGGCTTCAGTCTGGGCGAACCACACGTTTACATTAGTCATGTCAAAAGTTGGGAGGGTCAGTACGACGGCTGTCTCTTGTGCAGACTGTTCAGCCATTATGAATAACACGTGGTGTTTCGGCGCGAAGTAATATCTCTCAATAAATTGGATCGGTGAGTCGTCCAAATGTGGTTGGTATAAGGTTCCGAGAAGTCGTAGTTACCAATGCTGTGCGGAAATTAGTTCCTACGTCGGGTTTACCAGTTGTAGTAGGTATGGTCCTACGACGAACGTCGGGGTCATCAATTGTAGTGGTGCTGTAAGTATTGTTGGCTAGGGTCACCGTGAATATAATCAAGAAGGAAAGCTGTATTCTTGTAAAACAACACCCCACATAAATAATGCACAACATACACGAGAGAAAAATAATCAAGCTCAGTGAACATTAATAAAATATTGTATTAACAATGATATACAAATATCAACACTAATATAAAGAAAGTTGCTTCCCTTTTTCCGTAATAAAAAGGGTAAGTTTAGCTAATTAATGTTGAGTACAATATTGAATGTTATTTAACTACAAAGTTCAATTGAAGTCTTAGCTAAATAAAGAATAGTTCCATAGTGTTCTATCAGTGTAGAAAGATGTAATGTTCATGAGTGATATCAGTAGGAATTAGTATGATTACTCGAATGAGTAATAATTAAGAATTAAAATGTCAATATAGCGCCGTGCCTTATTTTCCAAGAATTGAACTGCTACTGGCTGTTGGCTAACAGCGAGAGGGTTTTTATAGTTACGCATAGGCTCCAGTGAGCATGGCGCCAAAAATATAGAAAGATACTAAAATACGCGATTGGTCAGGAAATGGACCAATCCGTGATTTTAGAGAAAAATTCAAATTACGTACGATGGCAAAATTGTCATATAATAAGTATCATATATTTATGAACCAATGACATTAAAGAAAGCGGAGGTGTGGCACATGTAAGTGATCACCACTCCTTCAAATGTAATAAAAGCGAACAATAAATATAAACTATTGGTTATATAAGGTTAAAGAAAAAATTATTTAAAAAAATACAAATTCTTGGTTATTGCACTGATGATCTGTATTTTTTAGGTATTATTTTTACGTTTTCGCACGCTTTTTAGGACAGAAGTAGAATTACACAGTTTTAATTTACCCTTTGACCTCACAGGTTACCGTTACATTCATTCTGTTTTAAGTAAAAGGTAAACATTACTTTTAGAAAATCCAGTTAATTAATCCTTAAGTCTAAAACGAAAATCTCTGTGTCACACTTTTTCAATTAAAGGAGCACGACTCTCTAACTTTTAAACTTTTCATTTTCTTCAAATGAAACATGATTGGAATTGCATCCTCAGATTGCAAATTTAACTCTCTGTGAAATTGAAAACAAAGTGATGAACTTGGCTCAAAGAGATCTCAGCATTTTTGGTCTGGCAAAGCCAAACAGAGAAAATGAACAAATCAACAAAGAAATGTTGAGAGAAAAATTATACATGGAAGAACAGCAGCAATGTGTTCAAAACAATGAGCCCCTGTTGAACCAAAACCAACAGCAAGTGCATCAGAAGGTCCTTGATGATATCAGCAACAACAATGTAGGGATTTTCTTCTTGGAGACACCTGGAGGTACTGGTAAAACCTTTGTAACTAAACTTTTTTTATCTGCTGTGAGACTCCAAAGAAAAGGGACTCTAGCAGTAGCATAATCTTGAATTGCTGCTATTATGCCTAGAGCACCTTCAAAGTTTCATTGGATTTGAACTACAATGAAACCCCTATTTGCAACATCGAATGAGGAATCAACTTGCCTAAGCTACCGGAGGAGACAAGCTTCATTGTCTGGGATGAATGTACCATGGCACACAAGTAAACATTTGAGACCCTGGACAAAACACTGAAAGACATTAGACAGAATTCACAAATCATGGGAGGTATCACTTGTAATGATACTACTACTATTTTATTCCTGATTCTCGAAACGTCAATCTGCTTTTTCAATGTACTAACACACATGCGCATTATCAATAAATATACGCCGTGACAGCCCATTATTCATAACTATCACACGTGTTCTGGTTATCATTATCTATCAATACACGTACATGCACAACACGGCATGACATGGTGGCAGCGAGACTGGATAATACAATAAGCAACCCTACGAAATCACAGTACCAAAATAAAACAGTTAGTACAAACAGCAGTACATTATTTTTTAACCGTTCACATTTACACAAATTCTCGCTCGCTTACACCACGCCGGGCTCACAACATAACTGCTACTGACAGACAGCTATCATGGCTACTGTGTTGATACAAGTACATTGCCGAGTCGTTTAAATTATTTCGGCAACGTATAGAGATCTACTTCACTGTCAAGGCAACAAAACATGAAGACAAGGTCCCGCTAATTCTCCTCGCAGCTAGCAAAGAAGGTCTACGCCGATACAACAGTTGGTCGATGACACTATGACCGCAAGGACCCACAAAAATATTCTCTGCCTTCATAGAGCAGCTCGAACCGGCAACCAACCACCGTGTCTGTAGGCTTGAACTTAGCAAATACCCACAAAAGCCAACAGAAACAACGGAAATCTTCGTTAACAGATGTCGACTAGCAAAGGAATGCAACTTCACTGCCAACGAAGTAAACGAACGCCTCATTGAGTTACTAATCGCCAGCACACCCATGCCTGAACTACAAAAAGAACTGTTGAAAAAACCAAAAGGCTATAAAATCGAAGAGGCAGTTAAATTAGCCCGTTCACATGAAGCATCAGCCAACTTCACCAGCTACAGGGATCATCACATATACCCACCAATGGCAAGGGTATGATAGAAGATACGGACAGGCTTGCAAAAATTGTGGACGCGAACACCGTTTTGGCAAAGAACATTGTCCTGCCAAGAATGAAACATGCAACACGTGTGGCAAAGTAGGCCAATGGGCTATAGTCTGCATCTCGGGGAAACACAAGACCAAAAGATGACAAGAGAAACCCAGGTCTAACGGTCGTGACCAGTCGAGACACCAACAACAGGAGTTTGGCAGGAAAGTTGACAGCGTCGCCAAACATGATGACCAAGCCATTGCCAATACAGACGCAGTGATGGAAAGCCTCACTTTTAGCTCCATCGAAACCAATAGTGGAAAATCACCAGATATGAAAGGCCCTCAAAACGAGGTATTTGTTGATTTAAACATCAAGTTGATAGACCACCCAGGCACTCATACTTTCATCCTGAAGGTCGATACAGGGATACAAGTAAATACATCCGCATATTCCCCAAGATGTTCCCCACCGCATAGGCAAAGCTGGAAATCCAATACCGGGATCACTCATCTCAACACAATGCCTACTAACAGCCTACAATAACACAAAGATAAACTGTTACGGCACCACTAATATTAGGTGCAAATGCAAGAACTCTCCATGGCTGGATACCCAATTCTACGTGGTTGGTGTTACAGAAGCAGCCATACTGGGCCTGTCAACATCGGTAGCACTTAAAGTAGTGACAATGAACTGTGCTATATCAGTCCAGCAACAACACATCAACAGTATAGCTAAAGTAATGCGCCTCTACCCTGACAGATTCGAGCATATTGGTGAATTCCGGAGGACTCACAAGCTTGCTGTTAACCCCAATGTGCCATGCCACATAGATCCACCGAGAAGAACACCTATTAGCCATACGCGAAAAAATCAGAGCTGAGCTTGACAAGATGGAATCACAACGTGTCATTCGCCGTATCGTAGAACCTATAAACTGGGTAAGCTCTCTTACATATGTCACCAGACGTGACAACTCAATAAGAGTCTGCCTAGACCCACGAGCATTAAACAATACGGCCATACCACCAAATCACGACCGTCGAAGAGATTAACCATCGATTTGCAGGAGCAAATTTCTTCTCAAAGTTGGATGCTAACTCGGGATACTGGTCCATAAAGCTCGATCGTGAAAGCTAGCCACTAATAACTTTCCAAACGTCATTTGAGAGGTACTGTTTTGAACGACTTCCATTTGGTCTGAGTGTAAGTCAGGATATTTACCAACTTGAGATGAACAGGATACTCGAGAAGTGCACGGGAGCATGTGGTATAGCTGAAGATATCATCATATCACAACATGAACAGAATATGAGCACGATGAAATCCTAAAACATTTTATGGAGGTCGCTACTCAATAGGACCTTACCA